TACCGGTGGTCCGGTCCCTCGATTGGCCGCGGTAATTGTGTACGTATGCGCATACGCCGGCCGACCGATCCCTTTTAAACGGTGAAGAGCCGGGTAGCGCGAGCGTTGTTATCTTATTATATTATAGAGTAGAAGAGGTAATCGCTTGCATAAAATGGGGTGCAAATATTTCAGACACCAAAGCGTGATTCTTTTTTTCTTCCACGAAAAATTCAAATTTTTAATAATACAGATAATATATGGATGTAATCCGGATTATACATTTAATTATTATTTTATATTATAAAACAGTTATAGGCTACAAAACGTAACGGTGCCTAAAATGGGGTGGAAATATTTAAGACATTAAAATGCGATTTTTTTCTTCAACACGGAAAGATTTTTCTAAAGTATCTAAAGTTTAGCTAGGTACAGATCTGAAGATAAGTTTGTCAGACTATCAAAATATTTATGTAGGACACTCTCAAAGTTGTTGGTAGAATGTCAGATTTTTACATCATTGCTTATCATATTTGAGAGATTTTTCTATGCAATTATTCTGCCCAATAAAATTATTTCAAATTTGTACCTAGCTAAATTTTGGGATATTTCAGCAAAATCGTTCTTTCCTTGCACAGAGTATTTAAATTTCAGATATAATCCTATTATACATTTAATTATACGCATCGAAATTAATAGAGAAATAAATTTTGAAAATAATTAAGCACCTGATTAATTCTTATCAATTGTTAACAGCTTGCCTGATAATCTTAGCCAGTTTTTCTCAACAAAGCCCGCTTAAAGATGACGCGCGCCAATGTAAATTTAGAGATAAACCGCTATACGCTAATTTGTGTCATAAATCATCATTAAAACTCATTGCAAATAGTTTTGTGTGCATATTCCTATTGATCTTTTAGCACTCTAAGATAATGAAAATGTTTTTCTTTGTTGTTTACGTTTCAATGACGCATTTCAACATGGCTCGTTTAAACTTGGCGGGTCTTTTCTGGGTGATGGTGTGAGTAGTTGAAAACTGACAAAGCGGCTCATCGATCGGATTGTTGTTCCACTAAGAGGTAGTATAGATACGCGCAGCTTCCCACGCGTCACCGTTTCCGCTTCGATCGGAAGCATCCCCGTAACTAAGGATCCCTCCTACATTCAGCATCTTAATCCTCAAACACTTCATCTCCTCTTTGATATAAACAAGCAATTTTCTCTCTGATAATTGCGTAGTCAAATCCTTAGCGAATTGAAGTTCACGTACATCTCTAAATATCTCGAAATAAATCGAAGGCGATTATTCGAACAGATCAAGTCACAATAACGTCAAAAAGATGTTAAAATAATTCGTAACTGTTTTGAGAAGTGATTTTTAGTAATTATTTTGGAGCCATTTTGATGTCATCATGATGATTTGTGTTCTCTCTCTGTTTAGATTAGGAACAAAATAAATAAAATCCGATTTTTTTCTTCTCGTATACTTCTATTTATTGTACCTGCTTTTGTATGTATTTCATATATTTGTAATCAAAATAATATTTTGCTTTTTTTTCCTTCTTGATAAAATTCTTTAGATTCCTGGCGAGCTACTCATGACGTCAGTGACTAAAGGCGGTCGCGATCATTCCGTGACGTCATTCGATGCTATAGCTACTATCTCTAGGCAACAAAACGTTTCACGAGATCTGCCCAAGCTTGTATACATGTATACATATGTGAATATATACATAGAGGCGGGTCAGTCAGTAGCTTCGAGTTACGTAAGTGGTCGCGTAACCTTTCGACCTTGTTCTCGAGTTCTTTACTTATCAGACTGCTCCATACATCACCGTTTACCTGATTCGCATCAAATAACATTTAGTTGGTACATGCATATTATAACTGCGTCAGGTGCATGACAGTAACGGCCCTCGCAACATATATCTGCTTTGATTCTGCGCTGAGTAAAGCTTTGATCTTCGCCGTATAAATTATTGAAACTTTTAGTAGAAAAATATTTGAGAAAGTATTCTAGAAAATGTGCTTAGTTATGCGCTTTTTAAACATTTAACGTTGAGTTAGAAATCCGAGATATCGCCTATCTTTTTTTTCGCCGATACACCTGCACTGATTATGGCACGCCAATGTCGCGAGTGGTGCTTGCATAATATCATGTAAACCTTGAAAGCAATTGCCCGTCTACAAATCAATTCGGACAGCCAGAGTATTAACGAAGAAATATATTGAATTATACGAGTCTCGTTAGATTATGTGTATATTATATATACAGTATTACAATATATTACATCATAATGCAATATATATATATATAT